ATATCTAACCTAAAAATGATACCCAATGAAGAGATTATTTTAAATATTATTTTATACCTTCCGGCAGAAAAAGTGTATTTTCTTCATTTGGGTATGCTCTTCCTAATTATGTTTAAACGAAGACGAATTTCACAGTGTATTTCCTAAATAACTTTACAGAATTTGAATTTAATGTTGAGTAGATAGTAATTAGATATAGATCTATAGGGCGTTTAATAATTATTTTAAAAAAAATATTTAAAAAATATTTTTAAACAAACATTGTACATTAATTTTCAAAAAGAAATAATTACACTAGCATATAGAAATGTGTGTACGTTAATTTTTAACATAATACGAACATTTACAAAAAATATCATTACATAAACAAAATGGTGAATATTACTAAAAAAAAAGATTTCTCGATCAACAATTCAAGTGAAAGTAATTAGAAATAAAGAAATACAAAAATGGTATTTTTATTATGATAGTCTTAAAAATAATATAACAGGCGGAAGTAAATCAAACGTAGTTTTCGTTGCAAAATAACTATGCAGCCAGTTTTCATATTTTATAATCATTTATATTCTATAGCTCATTTATTTCCCGTAAGGTGAGCTTAAGACAGCATGAATGTGATTCTGCAGCAATACTTTTCTAATAATCTAAACAATTAATTGAAACTTAATCATCAAAATTAGCGTGACAAAATAGTGTTGTCACACTTGCAGACAAAAATTTATATGTCAAAGTAAAGTTAGATTACACAAAACTAATGCATTTAATAATTTTAAAAGGGCGTTATCTCCCATGCCACAGGCAAGAACTAAATAAATAATAATCATTAAAAAAGTTTTAAAAAACCCACGTTTTCTGATTGAACTAAAAAGTAGAAAATAAATGCTATAGGCCCTACATCACAATAATGCAAGCGATCACTCTACTATAAGCGATCAAAAACGTGGGGCGCCGAAGTAAAAGTTATATTACTATTGATTAGATAATACTATTGACTTTTATTAGGGAGCTTGTAGAGAGTCAACAGTATTAGAAACTGTAAGAAAATCACGGCGCCCCACGTTTTTGCTCGCTTATAGTAGAGTGATCGCTTGCATTATTGTGATGTAGGGCCTATAGCATTTATTTTCTACTTTTTAGTTCAATCAGAAAACGTGGGTTTTTTAAAACTTTTTTAATGATTATTATTTTCTACTTTTTAGTCTTTGTCTGTTTGTTTGCATTAAAATCTTGCTATCGATTTTATCTTTTCACTTTTTTTGGGTAAACGAAGACAACTCGTAAAAAGACAACTCGTAAAAAGACAACTCGTAAAAAGACAACTCGTAAAAAGACAACTCGTAAAAAGACAACTCGTAAAAAACACGTTCTGTGAATACGTTACTGACTAGAACACATAGATTTGAACCCGTGTCGAGTGGGATAGCAATCGTGTGCCCAACCACTCGACCATATCGTCTCCCCCAAACTGGCCTACCTCCTGTAACTTTAAACTCGGTTCAAGCTAAATTATCTGCCCCTAAGCCTGTGGCGACGTGTGATCGTTCGCTTCACTGCGCGCGAGGTACGCGTCGCTGGTTTTTTTTCTAATGGCTAGCAGAGGAGAATTATATATATAGATTATATAGCGGTCTAAAATGCTCAATAAAATGTTTCCATTGATCAATTTAGTAATAATAACAATTGAATATTCAATGGTCATCCATAATAAAGCTTCCCTGAAAATTTCAGCGCGCTAGCTAACTGGGAAGTGCCAGAAATTTCGATCGCAAGATTTGATTGGAAAGACAAACAAATAAACACACAGAGAAAGCAAGTTAAAGAAAACGTGGGAACTTCAGGATCTGTCAAAAATGTAGTTCAGTGGTTTAAAAGGTTGGGCTGATTTTCATATATTTTGAACAGCCGTGCCGAGATAGTTAGCTTCCCTAAATTTAAAATGCTTGAGTTTCATTTTTTAATTGAAAATATTCTTGGCGAGCGTGCTGAAAATTCAGGTTTCCTTTTTTTTTTTCGTCGGCTCATTTAGTTAATTACCTTTGTCTAATTAGCGTTTTACGACATCTTCCGGAAGTTTTTTGCCCTATTCGTAATAAGTGCGTCCATAGTAATGACAGACAGGACGACGGAAAGAGGAACGGTGTCGGAAATAGCAACAGAAAAACGGTGTCGGAAATAGCAACAGAAAAACGGTGTCGGAAATAGCAACAGAAAAACGGTGTCGGAAATAGCAACAGAAAAACGGTGTCGGAAATAGCAACAGAAAAACGGTGTCGGAAATAGCAACAGATGACAGTGTCGGAAACAGTGCCGGAAACAATGACAGAAAAACTGTCGGAAACAGAGAGTGATAAACAGTGTCGGAAACAGCAATAGATTAACAGCGTCGGAAACAGCAACAGATGAAGAGAGCGATTGAAACAGTAACGCTACAGTAACGATAACAATGACGGATAAACAAAGCAACTAACAAAAATAAACAGACATACAAAGGGACAGACACGCTGAGAAAGTTGCTGAAAGACAGACACGTGTATAGAGCAGAGAGACAGACTAGAGGAGTAGAGAGACAGACTAGAGAGACAGACTAGAGCAGCAGAGAGACAGACTTTAGGAGCAGAGAGACAGACTAGAGGAGCAGAGAGACAGACTAGAGGAGTAGAGAGAGAGAGACTAGAGGAGCAGAGAGAGAGACTAGAGGAGCAGAGAGAGATACTAGAGGAGCAGAGAGAGAGAGACTAGAGGAGCAGAGAGAGATACTAGAGGAGCAGAGAGAGAGAGACTAGAGGAGCAGAGAGAGAGACAAGAGGAGCAGAGAGACAGACTAGAGGAGCAGAGAGACAGACTAGAGGATCAGAGAGACAGACTAGAGGAGCAGAGAGAGACTAGAGGAGCAGAGAGACAGACTAGAGGAGCAGAGAGAGAGACTAGAGGAGCAGAGAGACAGACTAGAGTAGCAGAGAGACAGACTAGAGGAGCAGAGAGATAGACTAGAGGAGCAGAGAGAGAGAGACAGACTAGAGGAGCAGAGAGAGATAGACTAGAGGAGCAGAGAGACAGACTAGAGGAGCAGAGAGAGAGACTAGAGGAGCAGAGAGACAGACTAGAGGAGCAGAGAGAGAGACTAGAGGAGCAGAGAGAGAGACTAGAGGAGCAGAGAGAGAGAGAGACAGACTAGAGGAGCTGAGAGAGAGACTAGAGGAGCAGAGAGAGAGACTAGAGGAGCAGAGAGACAGACTAGAGGAGCAGAGAGACAGACTAGAGGAGCAGAGAGACAGACTAGAGGAGCAGAGAGAGAGAGAGACAGACTAGAGGAGCTGAGAGAGAGACTAGAGGAGCAGAGAGAGAGAGACTAGAGGAGCAGAGAGAGAGACTAGAGGAGCAGAGAGAGAGACTAGAGGAGCAGAGAGAGATACTAGAGGAGCAGAGAGAGAGAGACTAGAGGAGCAGAGAGACAGACTAGAGGAGCAGAGAGACAGACTAGAGGATCAGAGAGACAGACTAGAGGAGCAGAGAGAGACTAGAGGAGCAGAGAGACAGACTAGAGGAGCAGAGAGAGAGACTAGAGGAGCAGAGAGACAGACTAGAGTAGCAGAGAGACAGACTAGAGGAGCAGAGAGATAGACTAGAGGAGCAGAGAGAGAGAGACAGACTAGAGGAGCAGAGAGAGATAGACTAGAGGAGCAGAGAGACAGACTAGAGGAGCAGAGAGAGAGACTAGAGGAGCAGAGAGACAGACTAGAGGAGCAGAGAGAGAGACTAGAGGAGCAGAGAGAGAGACTAGAGGAGCAGAGAGAGAGAGAGACAGACTAGAGGAGCTGAGAGAGAGACTAGAGGAGCAGAGAGAGAGACTAGAGGAGCAGAGAGACAGACTAGAGGAGCAGAGAGACAGACTAGAGGAGCAGAGAGACAGACTAGAGGAGCAGAGAGAGAGAGAGACAGACTAGAGGAGCTGAGAGAGAGACTAGAGGAGCAGAGAGAGAGAGACTAGAGGAGCAGAGAGAGAGACTAGAGGAGCAGAGAGAGACTAGAGGAGCAGAGAGACAGACTAGAGGAGCAGAGAGAGAGAGAGACAGACTAGAGGAGTAGAGAGACAGACTAGAGGAGCTGAGAGACTAGAGGAGCAGAGAGAGAGACTAGAGGAGCAGAAAGACAGACTAGATTAGCAGAGAGACAGACTAGAGGAGCAGAGAGAGAGACTAGAGGAGCAGAGAGAGAGACTAGAGGAGCAGAGAGACAGAATAGAGGAGCAGAGAGACAGACTAGAGGAGCAGAGAGAGAGACTAGAGGAGCAGAGAGACAGACTAGAGGAGCAGAGAGAGAGACTAGAGGAGCAGAGAGACAGACTAGAGGAGCAGAGAGACAGACTAGAGGAGCAGAGAGAGAGACTAGAGGAGCAGAGAGAGAGACTAGAGGAGCAGAGAGAGACAAGAGGAGCAGAGAGAGAGAGACTAGAGGAGCAGAGAGACAGACTAGAGGAGCAGAGAGACAGACTAGAGGAGCAGAGAGACAGACTAGAGGAGCAGAGAGACTAGAGGAGCAGAGAGAGAGACTAGAGGAGCAGAGAGAGAGACTAGAGGAGCAGAGAGACAGACAAGAGGAGCAGAGAGACAGACTAGAGGAGCAGAGAGACAGACTAGAGGAGCAGAGAGACTAGAGGAGCAGAGAGAGAGACTAGAGGAGCAGAGAGAGAGACTAGAGGAGCAGAGAGACAGACTAGAGGAGCAGAGAGAGAGACTAGAGGAGCAGAGAGACAGACTAGAGGAGCAGAGAGACAGACTAGAGGAGCAGAGAGAGAGACTAGAGGAGCAGAGAGACAGACTAGAGGAGCAGATAGACTAGAGGAGTAGAGAGACAGACTAGAGGAGCAGAGAGACAGACTAGAGGAGCAGAGAGAGAGACTAGAGGAGTAGAGAGAGAGAGACTAGAGGAGCAGAGAGACAGACTAGAGGAGCAGAGAGACAGACTAGAGGAGTAGAGAGAGAGACCAGAGGAGCAGAGAGAGAGACCAGAGGAGCAGAGAGAGAGAGAGACTAGAGGAGCAGAGAGAGAGAGACAAGAGGAGCAGAGAGACAGACTAGAGGAGCAGAGAGACAGACTAGAGGAGTAGAGAGAGAGACCAGAGGAGCAGAGAGAGAGACCAGAGGAGCAGAGAGAGAGAGAGACTAGAGGAGCAGAAAGATAGACTAGAGGAGCAGAGAGACAGACTAGAGGAGCAGAGAGAGAGACTAGAGGAGCAGAGAGACAGACTAGAGGAGCAGAGAGACAGACTAGAGGAGCAGAGAGACAGACTAGAGGAGCAGAGAGACAGACTAGAGGAGCAGAGAGACAGACTATAGGAGCAGAGAGACAGACTAGAGGAGCAGAGAGATAGACTACAGGAGCAGAAAGATAGACTAGAGGAGCAGAGAGACAGACTAGAGGAGCAGAGAGACAGACTAGAGGAGCAGAGAGATAGACTACAGGAGCAGAAAGATAGACTAGAGGAGCAGAGAGACAGACTAGAGGAGAAGAGAGACAGACTAGAGGAGCAGAGAGACAGACTAGAGGAGCAGAGACACAGACTAGAGGAGCAGAGAGACTAGAGGAGCAGAGAGAGACTAGAGGAGCAGAGAGAGAGACCAGAGGAGCACAGAGAAAGACTAGAGGAGCAGAGAGAGAGAGAGACTAGAGGAGCAGAGAGAGACAAGAGGAGCAGAGAGACAGACTAGAGGAGCAGAGAGACAGACTAGAGGAGTAGAGAGAGACCAGAGGAGCAGAGAGAGAGACCAGAGGAGCAGAGAGACAGACTAGAGGAGCAGAGAGAGAGACTAGAGGAGCAGAGAGACAGACTAGAGGAGCAGAGAGACAGACTAGAGGAGCAGAGAGACAGACTAGAGCAGAGAGAGAGACTAGAGGAGCAGAGAGATAGACTAGAGGAGCAGAGAGACTAGAGGAGCAGAGAGACAGACTAGAGGAGCAGAGAGATAGACTAGAGGAGCAGAGAGACAGACACAGACAAGCTCGGAGTGAGTACAAAGGTTCACGAGCACCTTTACGAAAATGGCAGAGTTGCATTTTTTATTTTTATTTTTAAGAAAAAAAAAGTTGCTTTTTCCACCGCCGAATCAGAAAATTTGGTTGAACGTTAAAAAAACATAATGAGGGCAAGGCCATAGATAGAAAAGGTAAAGTTAAAAAAAATATATATCGCTCCGCGGTTTAGAGTAAACATGTGCAGGAGGGTGTGGGGAGGGTGGGGTCGGGGTGAGTGGTAGGGTGGGGTCGGGCTGAATTCTTCAAACAGCTGGTAGCCTCGCGCACACCGCCAAGTTTCATTGGTCGAATAAAGGTCAGTTGGCCGCGATTGGTTGAAATTTGGGGAGTGCGTGAAATCAGCTGATCATCAGCTGTAGGCCAGCTGATCGAGGAAGTTTTTTTTTTTCCTTGTCTTGGCATTGTTCGTTGTTATTGCCGGCTTAAGGGGAGATAATGTTGGATGGTAGGGGAGGGAGGAAGGGTAAGGGGAGATAAGTCTTGGTATAGATCCTGTAACAGGGCAGGGTGTACGTGTTCAGGTCAGGGGCGGGAGTGTGAGGAGAAATGATGATGCGCTTAAAGGCAAAGTTCCGTTTTAACGGAATGGACCAAATTTTTTTGGTGCTTTCATGTGAAGGTTATAAAATGGGGGAGAGGGTGGGATACGCGAGCGGTGTAAAAGCCGGTGTTTAATGCCGGCTAATTTAGAGAAGCTGATTTCAGCCGGCATATCAAAGCCGGTATTTATGCCAGCTAATTTATAGGAGCTAATTTCAGCCGGCATATCAAAGCCGGTGTTTAGGCCGGCTAATTTGTAGAAGTTGATTTCATCCGGCAGATGAGAGCCGGCATTTAATGTGCGGTAGGTTGGAGGAGCTGCTATCTGCCGGCTGCCGGCACGGTGAAGGTGTCAGACCGCTCCAGAAAGTCACTCTCTGTCTAGACGGGTCTCTATACAGCCCATCATCCTCTGTCTAGCTCTACAGCCCATCATCCTCTGTCTAGCTCTACAGCCCATCATCCTCTGTCCAGCTCTACAGCCCATCATCCTCTGTCTAGCTCTACAGCCCATCATCCTCTGTCTAGCTCTACAGCCCATCATCCTCTGTCTAGCAATACAGCCCATCATCCTCTGTCTAGGCGGGTATGGCTCTATATAGCACATCATCCTCAATCTAGCTCTACAGCCCATCATCTTCTGTCTAGCTCTACAGCCCATCATCCTCTGTCTAGCTCTACAGCCCATCATCCTCTGTCTAGCTCTACAGCCCATCATCCTCTGTCCAGCTCTACAGCCCATCATCCTCTGTCTAGCTCTACAGCCCATCATCTTCTGTCTAGCTCTACATCCCATCACCCTCTGTCTAGCTCTACAGCCCATCATCCTCTGTCTAGCAATACAGCCCATCATCCTCTGTCTAGGCGGGTATGGCTCTATACAGCCCATCATCCTCTGTCTCTCGTCAGCCCATCATCCTCTGTCTAGCTCTACATCCCATCACCCTCTGTCTAGCTCTACATCCCATCATCCTCTGTCTAGCTCTATAGCACATCATCCTCTGTCTAGGCATGTATGGCTCTATATAGCACATCACCCTCTGTCTAGCTCTACATCCCATCATCTTCTCTCTAGCTCTACAGCACATCATCCTCTGTCTAGGCATGTATGGCTCTACATGGTCCACCAATTTGATACAGTCCACCAGTTGACATGGTCCACCAGTTGACATGGTCCAACAGTTGACATGGTCCACCAGTTGACATGGTCCACCAGTTGACATGGTCCACCAGTTGACATGACATGGTCCACCAGTTGACATGGTCCACCAGTTGACATGGTCCACCAGTTGACATGGTCCACAAATTGACATGACATGGTCCACAAATTGACATGACATGGTCCACCAGTTGACATGGTCCACCAGTTGACATGACATGGTCCACTAGTTGACATGGTCCACCAGTTGACATGGTCCACAAATTGACATGACATGGTCCACCAGTTGACACGGTCCACCAGTTGACATGGTCCACCAGTTGACATGGTCCACCAGTTGACATGGTCCACAAATTGACATGACACGGTCCACCAGTTGACACGGTCAACCAGTTGACATGGTCCACAAATTGACATGACATGGTCCACCAGTTGACACGATCCACCAGTTGACATGGTCCACCAGTTGACATGGTCCACAAATTGACATGACATGGTCCACCAGTTGACATGGTCCACCAGTTGACATGACATGGTCCACTAGTTGACATGGTCCACCAGTTGACATGGTCCACAAATTGACATGACATGGTCCACCAGTTGACACGGTCCACCAGTTGACATGGTCCACCAGTTGACATGGTCCACCAGTTGACACGGTCAACCAGTTGACATGGTCCACAAATTGACATGACATGGTCCACCAGTTGACACGGTCCACCAGTTGACATGGTCCACCAGTTGACATGGTCCACAAATTGACATGACATGGTCCACCAGTTGACACGGTCCACCAGTTGACATGGTCCACCAGTTGACATGGTCAACCAGTGGACATGACATGGTCCACCAGTTGACATGGTCCATCAGTTGACATGGTCCACCAGTAGACACGGTCCACTAGTTGACATGGTCCAACAGTTGGCATGGTCCACCAGTTGACATGGTCCACCAGTTGACATGGTCCACCAGTTGACATGACATGGTCCACCAGTTGACATGACATGGTCCACCAGTTGACATGGTCCACCAATTGACATGGTCCACCAGTTGACATGGTCCACCAGTTGACATGGTCCACCAGTTGACATGGTCCACCAGTTGACATGGTCCACTAGTTGACATGGTCCACCAGTTGACATGACATGGTCCACGAGTTGACACGGTCCACCAGTTGACATGGTCCACAAATTGACATGATCCAACAGTTGACATGGTCCACCAGTTGACATGGTCCACCAGTTGACATGGTCCACCAGTTGACATGGTCCACCAGTTGACATGGTCCACCAGTTGACATGGTCCACCAGTTGACATGGTCCACTAGTTGACATGGTCCACCAGTTGACATGACATGGTCCACGAGTTGACATGGTCCACCAGTTGACACGGTCCACCAGTTGACATGACATGGTCCACCAGTTGACATGACATGGTCCACCAGTTGACATGGTCCACCAGTTGACATGGTCCACCAGTTGACATGGTCCACAAATTGACATGACATGGTCCACCAGTTGACACGGTCCACCAGTTGACATGGTCCACCAGTTGACATGACATGGTCCACGAGTTGACATGGTCCACCAGTTGACATGGTCCACCAGTTGACATGGTCCACCAGTTGACATGGTCCACTAGTTGACATGGTCCACCAGTTGACATGATATGGTCCATGAGTTGACATGGTCCACCAGTTGACATGGTCCACCAGTTGACATGACATGGTCCACCAGTTGACATGACATGGTCCACCAGTTGACATGGTCCACCAGTTGACATGGTCCACCAGTTGACATGGTCCACAAATTGACATGACATGGTCCACCAGTTGACACGGTCCACCAGTTGACATGACATGGTCCACGAGTTGACATGGTCCACCAGTTGACATGGTCCACCAGTTGACATGGCCCACCAGTTGACATGACACGGTCCACCAGTTGACATGACACGGTCCACCAGTTGACATGACATGGTCCACCAGTTGACATGGTCCACCAGTTGACACGGTCCACCAGTTGACATGACTCAGTCCACCAGTTGACCCCTCCCCCACCAGTACTAGGCCCACCAGTTGACCCCTCCCCACCAGTACTAGGCCCACCAGTTGACCCCTCCCTCACCAGTACTGGGCCCACCAGTTGACCCCTCGCCACCAGTACTAGGCCCACCAGTTGACCCCTCCCCCACCAGTACTATGCCCACCAGTTGACCCCTCCCCACCAGTACTAGGCCCACCAGTTGACCCCCCTCCCCCACCAGTATTAGGCCCACCAGTTGACCCCTCCCCCACCAGTACTAGGCCCACTTCTAACCGTCCCCTAAAGTTACGGTGACCGTAACCTGTCACTCTGGCTTGACACTTCCGACAGTGGCAGAAAACTGGGTTAATTGTAGGCTCGTTAATTGGGTTAATCTGACAACTATGACAGATAATTGGATCACCTGTATTTAGATAGCTGGGTTAATCTGCCAATTAAGGTAGATAACCTGGTTAAACCGGCCAGTAGAAGACTTTGTGAATCAACTAACTCTAGTACATGACTGGTTTAACCTAGTACGTAGATAGCTGGGTTAACCTGTCAGTTATGGTACTGAACCTGGTTAACCTGCCTGTAAAAAAAACTGGGTTAAACCTGCCATCGATGGTTGAATACGGGTTCAACCTGCCAACCATCATGGTAGATAACTGGGGCTAACCTAAAAATGTCGCGGGGCATCATGACATCACTCACCCATTAACATTGAAGGACGCCGATACAGACATACCGGAAATGTGTATGTCGATGGGAGGGGGGGGGGGAGTACAACTGGTAAATGGATACACCAAGCCACATTACTAGTAGACCAGATAACCCTTCCAGTAATTGTAGCCAAAAATTGTATACCACTCTTTATATAATGAACTCAAGATATAACAATTAACAGAAGAATACAAATCTAGTAAGGAATAATATACACATTTATGTACAATTTAATTAAGTGGAATTAACCTCTTTAATGGACGGGTTTACTGAAGAGGTAAGGGAAGTAAGCACAGAGAGTATTTGTAATAGGCAAGGGAAACAACCTACCGAAACGATTTATAAAACTAGTTCAACAATGCAGTTTTACAACACAAAGAAACGTAACCAAATTTATTTTTATTTATTCGAAACGCGCTGAGTTAATTCCCTTAGTAAAAAAATTAACGTTTTCAATACTGAGCACAATGTTATAATTTATGCTTTGGCTATTTATATGCCACATAGCTTCCTTTAAATTTTAAACAGATGAGCTTTATGATGCAATGTTTAAACTACAACAGCGTTAAAATAGCAAAAGCAACAGATGACTTGTGAAACCTATACCTACATCCTGTGTTACACAATAGCAACTGACTTGTGTGTAGAAGGGGCAGAGATTAAATCAAATTTTATTAACATTGCCCATATTTCTTGTATATGAAAAGAAGAGAAACAGACACGTATGTACAGTAACCAAAGGATAAAACATGCATATGAAAAAGTAAAACGGAGTTTCAAAACATATGAAAACAAATATTCATATTTTTTATTAAAATTTATATCTACAAAGGTCTAAGAGTATTTCAGTTTACATAAACACAATTCTAATCCAGACCATCTTGTGATCACACACTAGATTCCTGTGGTTTAGATTGTACTAATCTAGCCATTTTCTCTAGAAATGCAGTCTCTCCAATAAGAACCCTAGAAGATAAAAAAAAACAACAACTCAGTTACTTAATGCAATAATTTTGTCACACAGTTGCGGGTAAATTAAGACAAATTTTAAAATAATTCAATGTTCTATACCAGGGGTCTCCACACTTTTCAGTCCGAGGGCCGCATTAACTATCAAATTTCAGTTCGGAGGCCAGTTTCATCCAGGCATGTCTTTGATTTTTCTGGGCAAAGTTCCTAAGCCATTACCAACAAACGATTTTTTCCGTGGACAAAAAGATCTCCGCGGGCCGGATGAGAGGACCTCGCGGGCCACATCAGGGCAACGGGCCATAGTTTGGAGACCCCTGTTCTATACAACAAAGTTTTGTGGGACGGCGTGGTTGGATGGTAGAGTATACAACTGCTGACCCAAAAGTCTCGAGTTTGAATTCCAGGTTTGTGTCAGTACATCTTTGAGTCAACCCAGCTTTGATGGGTACCTGACTAACATTAGAGAAAGTAAAGGCAGCTGAGAATAGTACTGCCCACACCATCCCTTCATATGTTCAGGTTACTTCTTTACCAGCCCCAGGGACTGTCAGGTTTGAAAGGGTTCTTTACTTACAAGAAATTTTTGCTAGTTACTTTTTTGTTTTTTTAGTAACAAGCTTTTATTTAAACACTAAATAAAAAAAAATAAAAAAAACTATTTTCTTTAAATGCACAACTATTAGTGTTTTTCTTTTATTTCTAAGACCAGGTATGAAGGAGCACTCACCTTTCATTCTCTATATTGGACATGGTGTCCAGCAAATGTCTGGAAGCCTGGTCAAAGCCCGTGGAATTCAACACTGCATAGGTAACAGCACCAACCAGAGACCTGGATGGAAGAAAATAAATTGAGAGATAACATAAAAGCCAGATAAACCTACTGAAACAAGTAGATATAAATTTTAATTGATGTCAGAAAGCTGTTTTATTAACGTGAGATAATGAGGTTATTTATGGATAAAATTAATAATGAGATTGGTCAAATTGATCACACAAATTTTAATATCATGTTTTGCACTAGTTTTTTTTTTGTGTGCTTTACTTTTAATGGAAAACAATACAAGATGTTAAAACTGTTTTTAAAATGGTGGAACATTCATATAATTAGTAAGTTAAAAACAAGTTGAGGCATGGTACGTATCTAAAAACTTTGAACATGACATGTACCTTGAATGTGGTATCTAAAAACAATGATGTGTAACTAAAAAGTTAGAACACGATGTGTAACCTCACCCCAGAAAACCAGCGACACAGAATCCGGACACAAAGCCTTTCAGGCCAAGATGGAACCTGGCTAATCCACCTGTCAAACCTGTGAGTATTTCACACATTTAATCATCACAATAAAAACAAAAACATAATGTATGTATTTCACACATTTAATCATCACAATAAAAACAAAAACATAATGTATGAGTTTTTTTTTAGCCAAAATATTGTAGCTCAAATTGGAAATGCATTACTTGCTAAAAAGAAAACATAGTGCCAGAATTAACTACAAATGGCAATCATCTTTTCTTTTTTGTGCCCAAGACACACGGGGCAGATGAAGTAGATTTCATCTGTTTCAAGGACCTTGGCACTTGAAAGGATAGTGTGGTCAGCTCTATGCCCAGCCGCCTTTATTTTCCCAAACAAGAGTTTGGTACCTGTCAGAGCTGGGTGGACTCAAGGATTTTCTACTAACTTGAACCTAGATTCAAACTCAAGACTTCCAGGTTAGCAGTCTAGCGCTCTACTGCTAGGCCACGCCTTCTGCTATGAATGGCGGTAAACAGCTTGAATTCTCAAGGATCCATAACATATTTCTTAAATAATGTAAATAATTTTTAACAACAGATGCAATCATATAAACTTGATTATGTATGTTTTGTACCACTGGTACTTTTTAAAATTAATATTTTAGGTAACAAACGCTGTGTCACTATCTCGTCTTTTTCATTAGTCTTTAACCGTGCTGATGAATACTATTGTCTATTGTTCTTGTAATAGTCTATAATTTATGAAACTACTACTCCACTATCAGTATTTATTATTACTTAAGTTTTATCCTTAGTGTCATCTGCTCAGAAAGCTCCATACTACTAGTACTGTCTGGGTAGCTCTCTTGTAAGGGGAGGTAACAGAAAAGTTAGACTACTCTTAACTTTGGTTAACTAGGTACATGGTATCCTAGGCCTTCCATACATTACCTCCAGCTATGGAATACTCCATTACAGATGTTTTGTTTCTGTATGAGGCTATACACTGGGATACGTATCTGAAGTATTAAAACACCATTTTCAAAATTGTCTGTCAGAACTAATAAAGATTAGATACTAAAATTAAAGAAAGAAAACAAAAGGTTGGAAAATATTCAACAACAAACATTAAACAAATTCTAGTTAACTTTTTAAACTTTAATTATTTAGGTTTAAACTAAATACAATATAAATTAATATAAAGTTAAATTTAAGTTAATGGTATATAACGATAAGTTTTATATAAGGATAAGTTTTATATAAGGATAAGTTTTATATTACCAATTGTACCAAACATTAAAGGTAAATTTGCCGACCAGACATTCAAACCTAATTTTAATAGATCTCAGAGACCAGTTACAGGAACTCCAATGATCTAATGCTAAATTTTGCCATGACGTGGTCTGACAGAATCATACTGGCATATTTCTGAGCCACCCAGCAGTAATAAGTACTCAACACTCATACCACTGGTCAGACCACACAGAGACCATCACCCACCCGCATTCACTCAATCTTTAGATTTTGGAAGGAGAATTCATTAATTTTTTAATTAATTCTTTATAAGACACTGGATTATCCATAAATATTTCACCATGGTTTATAGATTCTGAATCTTATAAATGTTGACCTGAATCCAATTTTCACACTTTACTAAAATATCAAATAGCGTTGTCTCCCATGTTCCCCTGAAATTTCATGTTTCCTTATCGACTAGGATCTATATATATATAATTCTCTTCTTCGAGCCGTTAGAAAACAAGCTGCAAACGCTCTCCCTACCTCCCCACCCCTACATGGTTTTAGTGAGCTGTGTTCACTCTAAATGTTTACAAGCAGAGCCAACGATTTTAAACGTAGGGGGGGGGGGGGGGGGGGGGAGGAGGAGGGGGGGAGGGAAGGAAGGGGGGGGGGAGGAGGGGGGGAGGGAAGGAAGGGGGGGGGGGTTATGGTCCTTAACGAGCTACTTAAAGTGTTTTAAAGAAATATTTTCAGTGTCAGCGTTGGTACTGTCGAATTCACAAATTATGAATTATTGAAAATTAGAAACAACTAAATAGCGGTGTATGTTATGCCGCGGGCCGGCTCGTATGGGATATTTACTCTGTTCAATAGAGCCCCAGGGGACCAATGATTCAGTCTCAGGGGTTCAGCTGAGCTCAAGACACATACCAGACTCATGATTCACGATTGGATTTTGTCTGCGGGCAATGGAATTATTTTCTGGAAAATTTAATGGTCAACTTGACCAACACAACTTGGTTAAATGACTTACAAAAAGGAAGCAGAGAATATGGCCATCCTTGTAGAAAACTGAATTCCTTTGAGGATTGCATTGAAGGATATTTGGTCCTGCATCATTCTCTAAAAAAATCAAATTAATGACACTATTTATTCTACAAATTAATGACACTATTAGTTACACAAATTAATTACACTAATAGTTCTACAAATTAATGACACTATTAGTAATACAAATTAATGACACTATTAATTCCACAAATTAATGACACTATTAATTCTACAAATTAATGACACTATTAGTAATACAAATTAATGACACTATTAATTCTACAAACTAATGACACTATTAATTCTACAAATTAATAGTGCTATTAGTTCTACAAATTAATAACACTATTAATTTTACAAATTAACGACACTATTATTTCTACAAATTAATGACACTATTGGTTCAACAAATTAATGACACTATTAATTCTACAAATTAATGACACTATTAATTCTACAAATTAATGACACTATTAGTAATACAAATTAATGACACTATTAGTAATACAAATTAATGACACTATTAATTCCACAAATTAATGACACTATTAATTCTACAAATTAATAGTGCTATTAGTTCTACAAATTAATAACACTATTAATTTTACAAATTAACGACACTATTATTTCTACAAATTAATGACACTATTGGTTCAACAAATTAATGACACTATTAATTCTACAAATTAATGACACTATTAATTCTACAAATTAATGACACTATTAGTAATACAAATTAATGACACTATTAGTAATACAAATTAATGACACTATTAATTCCACAAATTAATGACACTATTAATTCTACAAATTAATAGTGCTATTAGTTCTACAAATTAATAACACTATTAATTTTACAAATCAACGACACTATTATTTCTACAAATTAATGACACTATTAATTCTACAAACTAATGACACTATTAATTCTACAAATTAATAGTGCTATTAGTTCTACAAATTAATAACACTATTAATTTTACAAATCAACGACACTATTATTTCTACAAATTAATGACACTATTGGTTCAACAAATTAATGACACTATTAATTCTACAAATTAATGACACTATTAGTAATACAAATTAATGACACTATTAATTCTACAAATTAATGACACTATTAGTAATACAAATTAATGACACTATTAATTCTACAAACTAATGACACTATTAATTCTACAAATTAATAGTGCTATTAGTTCTACAAATTAATAACACTATTAATTTTACAAATTAACGACACTATTATTTCTACAAATTAATGACACTATTGGTTCAACAAATTAATGACACTATTAATTCTACAAATTAATGACACTATTAATTCTACAAATTAATGACACTATTAGTAATACAAATTAATGACACTATTAGTAATACAAATTAATGACACTATTAATTCCACAAATTAATGACACTATTAATTCTACAAATTAATAGTGCTATTAGTTCTACAAATTAATAACACTATTAATTTTACAAATCAACGACACTATTATTTCTACAAATTAATGACACTATTGGTTCAACAAATTAATGACACTATTAATTCTACAAATTAATGACACTATTAATTCTACAAATTAATGACACTATTAGTAATACAAATTAATGACACTATTAATTCCACAAATTAATGACACTATTAATTCTACAAATTAATGACACTATTAGTAATACAAATTAATGACACTATTAATTCTACAAATTAATGACACTATTAATTCTACAAATTAATGACACTATTAGTTCTACAAATAATACAATTTACCACCCCCCAAAACAAATAGATTTTAAAACTTGACACACATTTTATGGGAGAATATGTAACTAAAACCTCACTGATTTAGTTTATATATGAATCGGTTGAACACACTCCTCCCCCACACACATCTGATTTAATCTAGTTTAGACATGGCCCAAATAGCTGCTCAACATAATGTGGACTATAAAATCTCTTCATTAACTCGCTGTGTTTATTAAAACTCTACTTCAACTGCTCTTTAAGACAATTGGTCTGAACTGGCACTATCTTTTACACAGAATATTTGTTTTCAATAGGTTTCTTTTCAAATCATAAAATTTATTTATTTCTATCAAGTCGGAAGAGACAAGTATAGAAGCAAAAAGTTATGGGAGATAACTTACAATGGCCTGCAGTCGTGTCCTGAATACTGTCCCCCTGTGCTGGCGTATAAACTCTTCTTTACTTAGTTTCCATTCAGGTACATACTTCATAAGGAAGGTTACAACGAAAATTTGCATCAGGGTAATGCTTATAAATCTAACCTCTATACTGGGTTGTCCTCTCAAGCTGAAAAAAAGACATTGCAATTTAGTATTTGATGGTTAAAGGCTGAACCTTGGTATTCACTAGAAAATGTATATTTTCATCATGTAGTGCTGACTCAACATCATTCAAAGTCCAGGCTAATACAGTAAATGGCAACAGAAATCTGACTGTAATACAAGACCCAAATATAGGTTATACGTACACATAAACACTCCACATACAGATGTCTCAAAAATATCTGCCCCACCTCATTGCAATACAAAACCCAGATACAAGTTATAAGACCATGGTGCCGTCCACATAAACACTACACATACAGAGGTCTCAAAATATCTGCCCCATTACAATACAATATCCAGGTGCAAGTTATAAGACCACGGTGCCGTCCACATAAACACTACACATACAGATGTCTCAAAAATATCTGCCCCATTACAATACAAGACCCAGGTGCAAGTTATAAGATCATGGTGCCGTCCACATAAACACTACACATACATAAATATCTGCCTCCCACAGCCTTAAGAAGTACTTTACATTCTTTAAACAAGGTTCCCTCACAATCCAGACTCTCAGAACTTAAGACATTCAGGTTAGCAGTCATATGCTCTAACATTTGACCATTGTTACTTAGAAGAAGGTAGAACGAAATAAAATGTTCAATAAGAAGGGGAGATAAATATGACTCCATTTCTTCCAAGTCAATTATTATTTTATTTACATCTAGAATACAAGTCAAATAAATAGATCTACCTCTGCAATATCACAATAAGGCAAAAAAAGACTGAATAATAAAAAAGCTTTCTAGGATGCCATAAATTTCAAGTTTAAATGGTCTTGGTTTTTTCTAAACTGCAAACGCATATGTTTGAGAATACAGGATATGGTTCTCAAATTCTCAGGACTACCCATAAAAAAAAAAGTTAAAAAATGTATTTTCGTTTAGTTCTACTTACTCATTTTTAAACATTGACTTGACTCGATCATACCCAGTTTCTTGATCGATGTAAATTCTGGCCATAGCTTCAATTTCTGGGGAAAATTCCTTTGCGCTACTGTCCAAATCAAACAGTTCTTTTTTTTCAGGGGTAGGAGTTTCCACCCTCTTACCATCAGATGCATACACTCTGGAACATCTGAAGATCTTAGTGAAAGTTGAATAGTGTTTGAAACAGTTCTGAAAAATATTCTCTGGTCTCCATTTATTTGCCTGGTAACTTTCGAAAGGGAATATGAAATTTTTATTACATTTGCAGCTAGTTATCAAGGCTTGATATAGTTCCGCGCTTGTGACTGGTTTTTTATCCTCAGACATAGTTCTGTATAGGTTCACCTGAAATAAGAATGCTACAATGATAAGAAAAGGTTTAAATATCAAAGGAATTTAGAATATATAGCTCTTATCATTGTCCTACATGGCATCACATTAAAAAAGAATAGACTGAAAAGTATTTTTCAAAGAGATAACTAATTATTATTCAATCTATTCTATAGGCTCCTTACTATAATAAACAATTAGAGACCTAAGCCTGTAGAAAGGCCTAGGCCTAATCCTCATGTTGTATATCACAACATTTAGTTTAAGTTTACTGTTTACGCCTTAGTGGTATTAATTTTATAAAATATTATTCATAGGCCTATTTACTAGTTAAATAGGCCTAGTAATAATACTTAGGGCAGGCCTACTAATTAATAGATATAGTGCCCTATGGATTATATCTTGTACTGGCTAAAGAGTTTTTATTTAGATCTTGTATTTGTTAGTTTTACTTTTTTTAGATTCTCAGTCCTACCTTGAGAAAAAAAAATTAATTTGATTTATAACCTTGCTTTTAGATTTTTACTTTAAGTATCACAAAGCAATTTTCCCCATCATACTACTACTAGGACCTAATCAGTAGCGTAGCGAGGGGGGGGGGGACATATGTCCCCGGGCGCCGACCTTAGGGGGCGCCAAAATGGGTTGGAAAAATAACTTGAAAGGTTGAGGGGGGTGCAAATTGAAAGTTTGAGGGGGGGGGGGGGGGGGGGGGGGAAGGTGCAAATCAAAAAAATCTCGAGGGGGGTGCAAATCAAAAAGTTTGTCCCCTGGAAGGGTCGCTACGCCTCTGGACCTAATTAGTTTATATGTTATTAATTCGTACCAGCCCCCCCCCCCTAATATGGCAAAATGCCATCCCATTTTCCAAGCAGAAAATCAGTTGCGTAACAGCTTGTAGTAAAAGCAAAAAAAAAGGCATAAACAATAGAAGGAATAAAATCACTGGGTATGTAGTAGTACTGTAGTAACTAAATATTCTATAATTCTAATTAGTAGTAACCATTCTACTAGATCTACATAAATTTTGAATAGGCCTTAGCCGTTAGCCAAACTCACGGGCCTACTGCAGTGTTACAGTAGTGTAGTAGTAAATTTTTAACGGCTAATTAGTAGAAGGTCTCTGGAATTTGGCAGATAAAACGTCGGGAGTCAAGCGTCCAGTCCGGGCGCCATATTGTTGTTAGCAACCGACCACGCCTCCAAGTTAGTGAGTAGGCCTAATACTATTAAAGTGTAATACAGTTGATTAATAATTATTAATTTAAAAGGTAATCTAATAATCTATCGTTTTAGGTAGGCCAGGCCATAGGCTGGCCCTATGAGTATGGAGTATCAGTAACTGAGGTAATCTATCATTTTGGGTACGTAAAATCGCCCGCGACTAGTAATGTGAAAAACAGGGGACTTCTTAAATTTTAATAGTTATTTCACATTTGGAGAAGGATTTATATTTTGAAAAATACACAAATGTTTTCTTGTTTCATTTATGTACCTGTTTTTAAACAATTGAATTAAAACTTTTTAGTAATAAATGAAGACTAGCGATGTTTCCAACAGATGCAACCATGCTCATCCTAATATATAAAACCCCACGTTCACACCTCTCTCTCTCTCTCTCTCTCTCTCTCTCTGTCTGTCCGCAAAATATTTTCGCCGGACATCACGTCAGAATCGGCAGCGATATATGGATACCTTTATACGGACTTTTGTTGAAAATAATATGTTAGATGTTTTAAATGTATAACCACAATTTTATTTAAAGAAGAAAAATAAAAAATAAAGGCGTATTCGAATGTAGAGAAACAGTATTATTTATGCAACCGGAAAAGCATTAATAGATGTGAAAAAGAACGCATAAAACTGTGACGTCACTATTGCTTATACATTAACTAATGACGTCATCTGCCGTGTTTAGAATAAAAAGAAATGAACTATTTCATTCAAATTTGATTTTGATTACGTACACTATGAAATGTATACAATACAATTTTTCCGGCCTAAACTCATAAAATTTATTTTATTTATTTGGATTCTAGATCTATATATACTAGATTAATCTATTCAAATAATACATTTCTATACTAAAGTATTTCAGGCCTTAATTACTTTATTGAAATCTTTGTTTATCTATGCAATTTGCTAATCTCTATAATATATAAAGCAAAGTTGTCGGGTGCCCAATAGGGCACTTCCCGGCGCCGCAGGCGCTTCAAATTTGGCAAGATCTTGCCTTGGGGCGACAGAACACGGGGGCCGGTTGGCCGAAAAGTCTACGATGATGGGGTCAAAACTGACCTCGACTGACCGGCGCCTTATATGAGCTATAAATCGAAAAAAAATGTCCACGGAGGAACCTCTTCATAACTCCTGAGGTCGTAGACCGACCCTCGGGCGAATTAATTTAGCATTCAAATTCTCAATGTTTTCGAAAGCCTAAGCGAAGCTGGGCAGCATGCCTTGTTTACTATAGCAGCCATCTTGTTTAAGTTTTTTTAAACTTATAGAGCGAGATTCAGGTTTTTACGTACCCAAAGCAAAACGATAGATGGTAATCTATCGTTTTGGGTACGTAAAATCGCCGGCGGCTATTAATGTACGAAAAAGTTACCTCATTGTCAAGGCTTTAGTAGAAGTATATTGTGATATATTTGTGTCAAATATTATAGATAAATGAATAATAACCTAAATCAATGGCTAAATATATCAATATATGCCAGAAATTAACTTTAAACAGCAGTGTTTGCGAGCAAGATTTGCTATATAAACAGCAGCCATTTGTAAAATAGAATGGCTTCCCCCTGTCTCGCGCTATATATCCGCTATAAAAAAAAAACTTAAACAAGATGGCTGCTATAGTAAATGAGCATGGTTGCATCTGTTGGAAACATCGCTAGTCTTCATTTATTACTGAAAAGTTTTAATTCAATTGTTTAAAAACAGGTACATAAATGAAACAAAGAAACATTTTTGTATTTTTTAAAACATAAATCCTCCTCAAAATGTGAAGTAATTATTAAAATTTAAGGAGTCACCTGTTTTTACTAGATCTAGATCTAGACCTTCTAGTCGCGGGCGATTTTACGTACCCAAAACGATAGTTTACCCGATAGATTACCACCGTAACTGTCAGTAACTGAGACTATTAAATAATATTATTGTTTAAAGTTTAATCTGAGTACCTATAATAGCCACAAGTCCAGAGGCTACTACTATAGAGTCTAGCAGCTAAACTTTATATTAGTTTAGAACAATTAGGGTAAAGGAGGGCGTTAAGAGCCGTGTGGTATTAAGCCCCAATCAACACCCCACCCCCACAAAACCCCCAATAACACTGCTAATCTACTTCTGAGGTAACAACCACTGCTGTTCTTTGATAACAGAGAAGCAGAGGATTCATTTTATGTAATTTATGACCCACTTGGTCCAATAAGGAGAGGATGAGACAAGATTTAATCCCACTGCTCTTTCCTTAAAATTTCTCATCTCCATAAAACCATTTTGTGAACTTTTTTTCCAAATAGACATAACTTGGGAAACTTCACTTTGTAATAAACCAAATGAGTTTTTCAAGCCCATTCTTTGTTCCTGTATTAGATTATTGGTTGTTGTACATTTTAACACTATTTTTATAGCTATGGCTAGAAAATTTTTATTTTGGTGAATTTTTTTTGCACAGTGATTAATGGTGCCAAAACAAAATGGCCGACATTAGTCCCATTTTACCATGCTATAAAGTTTTTATCATTATCAGAGTAAAACTTGACTGATCATTACCATAATGGTTTTATTTGTTAGATAATAACTAAATCTACATGAATACATTCATTTTGTTCACTAGCTTGCCTGTTTAGAAAAGTTATAACAGATACTGTTATGTGGCTCTTGAAACCCTATGTGCACGTTTCTCATTTATTAGACCACTGAATATGACACTGGTATAGGAATAGTTAACACAAAATGTATTAATTGTTAAACAGACTTGTGTCTAAATGATAGAAATACTATTCTAACCTGCTAAAAAGTAAAAATTCAGTCATCTCATGTTAGCAAGGTAATTTTTAAAATGGTATGAGTACTTATTACCCCTAAGGGGCAATACAGCCGACTCAGCCCCCACCTGTTTCTAACCAACCATAAAACTTCTAATCTCTTTGTAGGTAACAGGAATAAATGTTCTTAGGTCTCAGCCAATCTGGGGTGGTATGTTATGTAATTTATGACCCTCATGGTCCAGCATGGAAGTAAACAGACACATTAATACCACTGCTCCCCCCCTTACAATTTCTTACCCCCATGATACCCAGCCCCCCACCAGTTTCTGGCCCACCATAAAACTTCATCTCTTTGTAGGTAACATGGATTACAGTTACAGATCTCAGACAATCTGTGGTGGCATGTTATGTAACATATGACCTTCATGGTCTAGCAGGGTGGAGACCAAAGAGGAATCAGTACCACTGCTCTCCCCTCACAATTTCTCACCTCCATGATCTAACCCACCATTAAACTTCATCTCTTTGTAGGTAACATGGACTAAGTTCTTAGATCTCAGCCAACCAGAGATAGCATCTCCTTATGTAATTTATGGCCCTCAGGGTCCAGCAAGGAGAAAAAAAGGGGAAACCAGTACCACTGCTCTCCCCTCACAATTTCTCACCCCCATGATACACAGCCCCCACCTGTATCTAACCCACCATAAAACTTATCTCTTTGTAGGTAGCATGGACTTAGTTCTTAGATCTCAGCCAACCAGAGATAGCATCTCCTTATGTAATTTATGGCCCTCAGGGTCCAGCAAGGAGAACAAAGGGGAAACCAGTACCACTGCTCTCCCCTCAACATTTCTCACCTCCATGTCATGTTATGTAATGTATAGCACACATGGCTTATCAGGGGAAAGCATTAAGGCAGATTAGTTAGTACCAACCCTTTTTACATACAATAATGTTAACTCTGGACAGCTACACACTAGTATACTAGCTACACACTAGGCATACTAATGTGCCTACTGTAAACTACTTGACTTTAGGCCCTATGTACACCTGTAATTGTATCAATTGTAGACTGGGCCCATTGGGGCCTAGTGATAGCTAGTATCAGTTAAAGTGTGTGTACACACCATTAACTATTTTGGGGTTAGAAATTAATTATTTTTATTGAGGAGTTAGTCTAAACTAGGAGATAATGCTTATTGCCCCATTGCCCGGCTCCTTTCACCCCAAATGCTGATTTCGGGGGTATGACAATAAATGTTCAATTAAACCCATTTAAAGTATATTTAATAGACTTTGTTATTATTTATATATTGTGTAAGATATGTTAGAATAATTTTGCCATATTTTCAATACTAAAAAATTCTTAGATTAGTAGAAATCTTTAAAAATGTACAGGTGCTAAAAAGTGTGGCTCTTAACGCCCTCCTTTACCCTACAGTTTAGTTTAGAGACCGTCTTACTTAGTTTGGTAACTTCGCAAATTGTCGAGCTATCACTAAAGTAAAGTTCACTAAAGGTGAAAATGAAAGTTAAAAGTTGAAACGGAAGTTGTGCATGGGTTCGTCAATAGCAGTAACAAGTTAAAAATTGTAAAATAAATGTTTCACTAATAAAACAATACAAGCTGTTGGTTGATGGATCTGCATAAAGATATGATTAGAATCACATTTTCATATAATAAAAATTAGGGCCTAATGTTTTTTTTTACATGTATGAAATAAACATTTTAGACAATGA